ACACCAAAGTACAGAAGGTTAGATCATTTAAGATACCAAAACATTATTTACAAGCCCAGACACTACACCATCTCACAGGTATTGCCGACATTGTTACATTAATGAATTGTAATGGACATTGTCTGACCTACACTGAGGTGATGCAAATCGAAACAGCAGGCTGTGAAGACATACAGAACAATGTTTCTAACTTACCCCACCATACTAATATGTACAGGGTGTCCCGAAAGTATGAGCCCCCTAGGCAGACGCGTACGTATACAATGTCTCCATGGTATGTGCCATATATCATTTTAAAGCTTATGCAAAGTTACATTGATTTGCCAAATATCATGGTTCAACTCACAAATGGTAAAAAGTTACAGGCATTTCAAAACTTAATAATGTTCGGCCAAAAATATAGTTCATTTTAGTATCCTGGAAACAGCCCTGACCTGACTATGACCATTAATATGGGTGCTATTGACGAATATAGGATGGATATTGAGTTCTAAAAAGAGGACATTAAGGGTAGATAATCCAATGAAACTCTTCTAAAATGGCTTAACAAATTTTTTTGAGGATTACAAAATGCCACATCCCTATTTGAAGCGCGTTAACAGGTCATATATGAAAAACATTGCTGCTGTTAATATGGTCTAGGGAGACACAAATCAATGTATCTTTGGATGATCTTTAAAATGATATAGGACACATACTATGGAGACATTGGTATATGTCTGCAGAGTGGGGGCCCCAGTGGGGGCATACTTTTGGGACACCCTGTAGTTAAGCTTATTAAATAAGGACATAATATGATGTAAATATGTATACTAGTATATCATAGAAATTAAAATAGTATTTTAAAGAAAAACAGTTAACAATACAGAAATTAATCTAAATGAACTATGTATATTGTATATATCTATCTACCATCTCCACACAAGCCAAACAAGTATATTTACAAAGAACAATGCCATTCATTTGTGTTACCATAGCAACCAATTACCAATAATCTTCTAAATCATGCTGTTTTATTGACCAAAAATGGTTTTGAACACAACTTTATTTTGATTGGTTTAGCAGTTACTTAATAATCTGAAATAGCTACAATTGTTTGCATGCACGTTTCCATGGCAACCATTTAACCAAACATGATCAGACTTGCTATATCAACTCACTATATGTATATACATAGTCCCTGAAAGTATGAACATGATTGGAGGTACATAACAGAAGTTATTTAAGATTGTTATCTAAAGGAGCCATGTCCACTTTTAAGTAGTTTGAATGATAGTGACCAAATAGGAATATGAACTAGAGTCATAGATATCGTAAAATTAATCATTATAGTCACGTTCTCTCATTTAAAACTCCTTAAATATGTTTTCAAAGTCAACTTCATGTTGATTGGTACAATCCGAAGAGATTAGCAGTCATTTACCTTTTAAAGAACTTGTGGATTTATCCGAAATATTTACAATTTTTCGCACTTAAGTTGTGTTGCCATGGCAACCGCTTGACCAAGCATGATCAAACTTGTCATGGAAACTTGTTATATATAGATACATAATCCCTAGAAATATGAATTTGATTGTAGGTATATAACAGACATAATTCATGCTTTTCATAGTACCCCTTCATAAATATAGCCAGGAGGGTATAAATGGCAATTATTCGAAGAGGCTGAAAAACTAGACCCTATTATTTTCAAAATCAATGAGAAATGATATAATACACATAATTAACATAATTATAAAAATGCAATAACGTGAGTAAAAAATTGGTCCCAGCTCATCCACTAATAGTGATGAAAATAAAAAGCCTGACCAGAGTTCCACTTTTTTATCAAGGTAGCTAAACTATAAGTTAACCTCCCCCCCTATCCGCTGACAGATATGTATTGTTTCAAATAATACTGTGAACCTACAGCCAATACTTCTTTCACAATTTTGAGCAGTTTTCCTTTGATCTTGGGCACACTTTTCGTGACTTATGTCGGATAGAAAGTGAAAACATAGTATTTTTGATTTGATATCCCGAAAACAAAAACTATAACACATGTGGCAATTGTAATTTAATTGTGCCCAAAGCGCAAAATCCCAAGTTATCAGACTAATTACAGGTAAGCTTGTATTTGCGCGTCTAGCCACAGCGTGCTTAGAGATAACTAGACTCTTGTCACACTCTGTAACTCCAGCTCTTAGCATGTCTAGGAATCTCTAGAATCTCTAGTTTCTCGACCAGATAAGCATGTCTAAAAATTCCACATTTGAGCAGTGTATGTTATATATATGTCAGGTAGCTTTCACCATAGGTTTCTTTACAGTTTTTGGTCTTTTTATTACTTTGGCATTATGCATGCTTAGATATTTTTTATTTCCCTCTTTAATCAACCATATCATTACATATTTGCAGGATATAACTATAACATATTGACCATTACCCATATGCAAAATTGTACTGATACTGTTACTGGCATTGCAATCTGGACTGTTAGCAGGATATTCATCGATTCCAAAAATACAATTTTGGACTGTTTGAGAAGGTACTGTGTCGAAGCAAAGCACTTTGTCATTCAACAGTGTTACCTGAGAAGGGTCTATTACTTTCTCTGGTTTGTGGAGGAATGGAATAACCTTCTCTCTAAGAATAGAGTCTTGGAAATACTCTCCTGTCCAAGGTTGACCCTCTTCCTTGATCACCCACATTAATCTCTGAATGGTAAACAATAAGAAAATACCCACGCAAGCGGGCCTTTTACATCATTCCTATTATATGCCCATATTCTGTCTGGTGATTTGGTTTTCGCACAGTATATAAAATCATCTGATGGGACTAGATGATGGAAATCTTCATCCTCCCAGGCACGAAGAAAATCAGCAAACCTAATCCTGTCTTCTCTCTGTTGTTCTGATTTTATAGGACAGGCAATCATCAGGTCCCTCCTTTAGTCTATAGCTTAATACTGTTGCACTGAAAATGTCTTTTCATCTCTGTATTTTTATATCCCTTGCAACTTCTCTACAACTCATTCGTTTTTAGCAGTAGTATTCAGTATGATTTGCCTAGTTTTAGGTGTAATTCTGGTCTCAGGCTGTCCAGTTCGCAACTGAAGTTGGATTTCAGAGAACGATTTTGTCCACCACCTTTGAACAAATTTATGAGACCTATTTAATGTTTTTGATTTCCAAGACTTTTAAGTGAATTCTGCACACCCTCTTAAGCTTCTTTAAATGCTATGCACCTTATTCTGTCAATATATTGAGTATCGTCATACAGGTGTGCAGTTTACTGTTAAAAGGCCAAAGTATACATACATTTTGTAGCAGTATGTAGCAGAATGTACCAAACAGTGACTTAGGTCAATTTAGGTTCATTAAGTCCAGAATTGGATGGGCTTTAATTTGATATGTAAATTGTGGGGGTATATTCATATTACCTGGAATAGGCTGTGGAGGGGGACGGTCATTATGAAACACCCTGTATATTTTAATTTTGGACAAGTGATATTTTTAATCAAGTTAGTTTGGGGGAAAACGGCAAATAAAAGCAATATTAATATAATCCAACAATCCAGGTTATAAACACAATGATTTATTATATGGAGTCCCCTGACTAAATCATTTGTTATTACAGACTTACTAATAGTTGTCCAGTGTTTAAAAAATGAATTGAGCCAGTGCCTTATTTGTACATTCTAAACTTTATTTTTTAATACTGCACTCATTGTTTGCTCATATACGTATATCTGTATATTGACATTCTTTCATTACACTCTTATATTGCACATATACCTCAATGTCAAAAAGTATGCCCGGTAAACAAAGTCCAGATATCGACTGACTCTTATTCAAAGTCAATGTATCAACTATCAATGTTTTATCTGCAAGTAGCAGTGATTTATAAAAAGAGAATGAACACAAAGTGTTGTGCTTATGTGTAATAGTGCTCAAAATAATGATTTATAAACATTTTTAAGAAACTAATGGATATTATGTTGACTCACAGCATGCCTAAACCTTCTTTGTAATCTCAATTGAAATGTTGGTAAGTAGGTAAAATATTATATCAAAACTATTCATTGCAAATGTACATATATATAGGATGAATGAATTTAACTTTACACTGAAAATACAAATCTGTAATGTTTAAAGATTCCTTAATTGTGTGTGAACAGTTTTAGACCTTATTAATTTTGTCAGTTTGCCCATTTAACAAGATGTTTTATAATGACACTTCCACAGCCATTACCTGGTCTCTGAATATTTTCATCATTATTAAGTTCCTTTGATTTTTGGCTTTTGGAATTAATATTTGCATGATTGATTGATGGGAATATGATTTGTGAATTCATGTTTGGTATCACTTTAAATGCTACATTTATAGCCGCTATTTGTTAAGGATGTAAAAAGAGGAGATAATTGTATAATCCATTGTATCATTTAGAGCTCTCTGGGTACTTTTTGTAACCTCAGCAACCCTCAAATGCTATAATTGGTACATTACTGGAGATGAAACTGTTCTGATCCACGGTTATCATTGCTTTTAACAGAACACACTAATAATTTTTAGAAAATGTAGCTATTCAATTGTGTGCCATATTTTGTAGTAGTAAATGCTGCTGAGCTTAATCAGTTATTTCACTAGTCCAATATTGAATGAATTTTCATCTAATATATAACACATGAAGGTATTTCATCTTGGATTGGTAATTGACAGGGGGAGCATTCAATATGAAACACCATGTACATAGTTTTTGTGCTCTTAGCTAGATGTTTCTTATTGTATTTTGTAATGTCCTTTTCCATTTTGGCTGGTGGGTTGTTCATATACAATAGAGGAAATCCTATAATGCAATATCCTTACGAGAATTTAAAAATTTTATTTACATCAAATAAATACTTTACATTGTGTTATAATTAAAAGCTTTATTTTGAAGGTAAAATATATTTAATTATTCAATGATTCAATGATTAGAAAGTTGTATTACGTGTTGTTATTTCTTTGTTCCAAGGTTCAAAATGGGTAATACGATTGACCAGTGGCGATGTGCTATTGGCAGATTCCACCCATGTAGACAGCACAACAGATGTGACAATACAGAAAGAAGGGCAGAGAGAGAATATCGCAAAGCTCTGCATGAAAACAAAGCCCATCAAAACAGGGGGAAAGGTACCCATGAGAGTAAAATTCAACATCTCAAGAAACATCTGGATTGTCTTGACCAAAAGGTTACAATCAAGCCAAATCACCATGTAAACAATTTGAAAAAAATACAAGAGCTTGCCAAAGAATGCAATGAATGGTTTGAAGTGGTTAGCAAAGGCTACACTGATACAAAGGATACATTTAAACAAAATGTGTCTGCAGACAGTACTGTGACTACAATTCAAAGTGAGAGAAGTCAATGTGTGACTGTTGGTGATGAAAAAGGAACTCCTGATCAAAATATTTCACTGAATTACAACATAGACATAGTGGAAGAAGATCTAGCTGCCAGTCATGAAAAGAGGGGCATACATAAGTATAAATTCGAAAATAACACTGAGAATGTGAAAGTACCAATGAACCAGCGTTGGATTATGTCATTAAGAAAACTTCCCCAGCTTTTAGTGATCATAACTATCTTACTTATTATTGGTGGGATTGAGGTCAACCCTGGTCCTCAAACACAGGGTAAAGATAGACAGAATTAATAACTATAGTTTTCAATAATTATTAACTATTGCACTCAAATAGTGTTTGATCAATGTATAACATTTGAGAGAGGTCATTAGACCAATATAATAAACAGCATTCTGTATTTTTCAGATTATGCCAAATCATATACAGCAACACCTTCCGAGACCGACATCTTTGAACTTTTACTTTCATTAGTCAATTCATCAAGTACCACCTCGAATGTTCGGAATCCCTCGGAACTCCTTGAAGATGTTGTAAACAAGCATGGTCTTACTGGTGTGGAAAATGATGGCACTGGAGATTGCCTGTTTCAAGCCTTGTCTCATCAAATGGCCTATACACAGACAGCCAATATAGACCACAGAGACTTGCGACAGAATCTAGTAACTTATGTCATGCATCATCCACAATTGGTAAGTGTTTGATGTCAATTGAAATATTTTTAGGAATATAATATGAGTATGTTCTACTTTCGAAAAAAAATCTTTAGTTTTACCAATCAGAATATCACAAGGGACAACAGGTACTGTATAAATGACAATGGTAAATGTGAGTCAAACATGCTGTAAAACCAGGATGACAACAATAACATTATCCAGAAAGACCTAAATGGTAATCCCTCTAGTTCCTGTTCATTTCTCCTATGTTCCTACGAAAAGTGTCCACCATAGTCCATTGTCACATCTTGCCATGTATCATTGTCTCTGTTAATTATTTGATTGAAGACGGTATATTGTGGTGATTCACTGCCACATTTGATCAAAATTGGGATTTCATATAATACACCATCACAAGAGCTTAATACATCCACATAATCAGCAACGATAAGGTTTGATAAATTGAGAAAAAAGTGATTAAAGAGTTGAATTGACAGTTCCGTCGGTATCTGACTTTACTGTTGTCAGGGTGTGAAAGCACTATATCTAGTTTGGGGATTTCTAAGAAATAGACATGAAAAGGAGTCCAAAATATTCTAATATGTTACTCCCATTAATTCATATTTTCAGCCAAATGGAGAGCATGTGACAACACAGTTTGACACTACCATCATGAATGACTGGGAAAAGTACATCTCCAGTCACCTTGAAATAAATGATGATGAAAAAACAAAGCTAGCATGGTATACAGAGTCCTACATGAACAAGCCTAGGACTTGGGGTGATAATCTAATGATCTGGGCATTTACTCAAGTCTTCAATGCTGATGTTGAAATTTTCTCTCAGGGGTCAGAGAAATCGTACAAAATAACAGCTAGTGATAACAGCGATGACAGGGTCATAGTTCGGCTTGGATATATACCACATGTCCACTTTATAAGCCTTGTTAGTTGCAAAGGTATTACCATTCTAAAATGAAAACACTTTTCTGGTTTTAGATCCTTGACCTGAGGAATGAATAAGATGTGTTCTTTATGAAAGTAGAAGAGAACTGTGTATTTATAATCAATATTTAATTGAAATTAATTATCTCTTCCCTGTCTTGCTGTAATAAATGACTATTGAATGTAAAATGGTAATTTTATTGTCATTATAACATAAAACATTATTTTTTAGATAAAGCAATTTCTCAAAGAGCACTACCTGCAGAAGTCCATCTTTCTGCACCAGACACATTTATAGACATGGAACAACATTCTAAAGCATCTAAACTAGATGATACCAAAGGTGAGCGAGTTTGCATTTTCACACCTTTTGACTCATTCAAATGTCATAATGAATGTTATTATGAATCAACAGAAACATTATTGGAATCCATATAAAACATAAAGTGTTTTCATTAGGGTCTGAAAAAAGTTAAAAAATTTGGGTCCAGGATGGAAAAAGTGGGTCCCCAAAAAATATGCTAAAAATACAAAGTTTTGCTTTTAATTCAATTTAATTCACTACAAAGTCAAATTCTAAATTTCTGTTCTGAATTTGTCGCCTCAATCTCAGCCCTTGTTCATGGTCGCATAGGCAGCTCTATGGGAAGGCTGGTCTCCGTGGCGTGTGAGACTGGATTTTTGGAAATCCCTGCATCCTCTTGTAAAAGTGTTCTGACGACCCGTTTGAACCCACACTCTGCACATCTTTGACCCATCTGCATTACAATACAACCAATTGAAATCTTCCTCCCACTTTTGAAGGAAAACACGTTCTCTCCGCATTACAAATGAAATATTTTCCTTCCTTTTTTGGTGACCTTGACCGTGACCATGCTTGTCGCGCGAAATCTCCTCTCGAGTGATCCAAGATGTCGGCGTCCACTGGTAAATTTTTATCGCACCCTCAGGTGCTATATTGTAATCAGTTTGCTCGGCGGGCGGGCGTCCCGAAGGTTTCCAGCCAAACCATTTGAGGGATTCATTTGAAATTCTCAGGGATGTTTCTACCCATGAAAGTTTAGAACTGATTAGTTTTTCGCCGTTCTGGGTAAATGTTAAGTTGGCCATTTTGGATTTTCTGTCCTAAAATCTTGTCTGTCAAGGCTTGTCTACAGGTTTCCAGCCAAACCATTTGAGGGATTCATTTGAAATTTTCACGGATGTTTCTACCTATAAAAGTTTAGAACTGATTAGTTTTTCGGCATTCTGGGTAAATGTTAAGGGGGCCATTTTGGATTTTCCGTCCTAAAATCATGTCTGTCAAGGCTTGTCTACAGGTTTCCAGCCAAACCGTTTCAGGGATTCATTTGAAATTCTCAGGGATGTTTCTACCTATGAAAGTTTAGAACTGATTAGTTTTTCGTCATTCTGGGTAAATGTTAAGGTGGCCATTTTGGATTTTCCGTCCCAAAATCTTGTCTGTCAAGGCTTGTCTACAGGTTTCTAGCCAAACTGTTTGAGGGATTCATTTGAAATTCTCAGGGATGTTTCTACCCATGAAAGTTTAGAACTGATTAGTTTTTCGGCATTCTGGGTAAATGTTAAGGGGGCCATTTTGGATTTTCCGTCCTAAAATCTTGTCTGTCAAGGCTTGTCTACAGGTTTCCAGCCAAACCGTTTGAGGGATTCATTTGAATTTCTCAGGGATGTTTTTACCTATGAAAGTTTAGAACTGATTAGTTTTTCGGCATTCTGGGTAAATGTTTAGGCGGCCATTTTGGATTTTCCGTCCTAAAATCTTGTCTGTCAAGGCTTTTCTACAGGTTTCCAGCCAAACTGTTTGAGGGATTCATTTGATTAGTTTTTCGGCATTCTTGGTTAATGTTAAGGCGGCCATTTTGGATTTTTCATCCTAAAATCGTGTCTGTGAAGGCTTGTTTTAAAAGAATTTCCAATTGAGAGCAATGTTAAATTAAAACATTTTTTAGAAATAATTAAACTGTCAATCTTTTAATTTTCACATATTTTGTAATACACCAGTATATCTTTTACCAGGAAAACGTGTCTCTTGAGGATTGTTTATAGGTTTCATGGATTCATCCTAAAATTTTAGCGATTTTTCTATGGAAAGTTTAGCTCTGATTAGTTTTTAGGCAGTCTGGGTAAATGTTAAGGTGTATTCTGTTCAAGGGTGCGATTCTGTTCACCGTGTGGCTTATTTTTCTTTTTTTCCATATTCATAGCTCTAGACAGCCTATACATTTTTTTTATCATCTTTCATATTTTTTGCGTCCAAGGGTCAATATTCTGTCTTATATCGCGTAAAAAAAGGCGTTAATGAATGCTAAGACTACCCTGTGCTCACACAGTGAATTGTAACCATATTATGTTTGGAAAGGATTAACTTAGTATTCAAATTACATGAGTTAGTTACTTCACGCCCGGTGATCGTGAATATGGGACGGAGGGGGGGAGCAGGCAATTTCTGCTAGGAAATTCAACAAATCTGAAAGATTTATTTTTTCAAGAAAAAGTTTACTATTGAATTGCTAAATGGATAGGCGCACGGTATGGTAGATTATGTTAGGTTTTCTGGGATTTTTTCTGAAACAATACGCATCTAAGGTATGAGATCTATTAAAAAAGGTGCAAGGCCATCAACAGGCACAAATCAACGTTTTTGCTATAAATCAAGCAACAATGGACTACACGACCTGTAATAAATACTTGTAAGTGATGTTATCATAACTAAATTAATGTCATTGCTGAATTTATAAAATAAGTTTCCATACGTAAAATAAAAAATAATCGAAAATAATTAAAATGGGACGGAGGGGGGGAGGGGACGGAGGGGGGAGTAGTAATTCTATAAAGTGAAACAACTTCACACGAATTCTTGTATTTGAAAAATGAACTCATTAACTTAGTAAGAAACTGGATGATATACCCCTGGAGACTGAAAAATGGGGACATTTGGAGTAAAAGGACTTAAAGTCGCGAAACATCTCTAATCATGTCTTATATACATATTGCTCCCCCCCTCCGTCCCCTCCCCCCCCTCCGTCCCAAATTCATTATTTTCGATTATTTTTTATTTCACATATGGAAACTTATTTTATAAATTCAGCAATGACATTAATTTAGTTATGATAACATCACTTACAAGTATTTATTACAGGTCGTCCAGACCATTGTTGCTTGATTTATAGCAAAAACGTTGATTTGTGCCTGTTGATGGCCTTGCGCCTTTTTTAATAGATCTCATACCTTAGATGCGTATCGTTTCAGAAAAAATCCCAGAAAACCTAACATATTCTACCATACCGTGCGCCTATCCATTTAGCAATTCAATAGTAAACTTTTTCTTGAAAAAATAAATCTTCCAGATTTGTTGAATTTCCTAGCAGAAATTGCCTGCTCCCCCCCCTCCGTCCCATATTCACGATCACCGGGCGTGTACTTAGTTGTTAAGTTACTTAGACTTAAGTAGGTACTTAGTTATCAAGTCAGATACTAAGTTACTTTAAAACAAAACCTGCCATTTACTTTATACATGCGAAAGTTCCCTGAAAATGACTGTCTTACTTTATGAAATCTTCAGTTTGCATGTGTTGCAGATACAGCAACTATTAACATTTATTTAAAAGTTCTACTTAAACAAAGTGTCTGATATAAAGAAAATTTGGCTTTTTATGTCAAAATGGGCAAATTCCCAGATACACAGATGTCAGATAGATCTGATAATAAATTACTGTAGCCTATCTATTGTTCACATAAAGCTTTGTGAAAACACAGAAAGTGAAAAAACATGACTCAATGAATTGCAGTTGACCTAATATACTCAATTACTCAATTATTGTACTGTATGCTAGAATTATAAAATTGTCCAAAATTTAGCCAGGGCTTAAATCCTTAAACTATATCCAAATGGCTGCAGAGAAAATGGATTTCCTTATAATGACCTCCAACATTAACCAATCCTTCATTATTGATTAATATCAAAAACAAATACATTTTTCCAAATGAATGTACAATATTTCTATCTTCCCAACTGAATACAACCACCAATTCTACATTACACATGTATATATTCTTTACTTACATCTCCAAATACTGCAGAAATAGCTGTATAATATCACATGTTTTGCAGAAGTTAAAGCAGCTGAGATACCAAAAGGATTAGAACAGATGTACAATCTTGGGAAGAAAATTAGTGCTTGCAACGAGACAACACAAATGAGAGAGCAGGCAGGCTACATGTGTGAGCTTGGATCATTATACGCAACACAGGCTCAAGAAACATCTGAGGGTTGGGATTTCATCTATGCTACAGCTCTCTACAATGCAGCATTACAGCGTATTAAACAATCTGAAACTGACAGTCCCAAAGAAAAGGTATTGTTTTGCTTTAAACATGTTAATGCTGACTATATTCTGGAAAAACTACAACAAATAGAAACACATTTTCTAGAATCAGTCTCAATGGTAAACCCGGAGTCAACACTGAGTTGCACAAAAAGGTACAGAAAAGTTCTGGACGAATTGAGAACATATTCATGTGATACTATCAATAATATTCATTTCAATGATATGCAAATTGATGGTATCACTTTTGATATGAGTAATGAGAATGTAAACAGGACAATTGCAAACAGCAGGATATATTATGAAAAGCTGACAGATAAGATAGTTGAATTTCATCAGCTAGTAATAGGTGATTGTATTTCAGTATTAGGGGTTCCTCAGGTAAATAGGTATGCAATCATAGGTCTTGGTTCACTAGCTAGAAAGGAAGTCACAGCTTGGTCAGATCTGGAGTCAGCAATAATATATGATCCTTCAGGAAAAACACCCCTAGAATGTGATGCACTAAGGCAAAAGTTTAGAGACTTGGTTCATTATTTACATATGAAAGTAATCAATTTAGGGGAAACTAAAATCAATGTATTGGACATTCCGGTCCTTTCTGATTTTAACAAGAAACTGCCAGAAGGGTTAAAAGATAACAACTTCTTTGATACTGTAACACCACAGGGAATCTGTTTTGATGGCACTTTGCCAAAAGCGAGTAAACACCCTTTGGGTAGAAAGTCTACCACAATTCCTCATGTAAAGTCTGAAAGATTTGAGTTAATACAGCCAATCAATGACATGGTTAATTGCCAAAATGTTGAAGTGTCAAAAAGAGAAGGCTATAACCTAAGTGATGTACTTATGACATCGACTCTCCTCTATGGTGATTATTCATTATGGGATGAATACAATATAAAAGTTCATGAGAAACTATCCCTGGAAAATACTGGTAAGAAGCGAGGACAAGCCACAATGATTCATGACTTGAAGAACTATGGAATGAAACCACTTTTACCAAAGTCATTTCAAAAGCCAGTTAAGGCCAAACATGACCTCTATAGATTCGCAACAATATCCATCAACACTCTTAAATTATTACATAATTGTGAATCATTTAACCCTATAGATGTCTTAGAGGAATTGTGCCGCAAAAATGTACTATGTGAAAATGCAAAGAAAGATTTACAGGTCATGGTATGTTTAGCTGTCAATATGAGACATCTTGTTTACAGTAGATATGACCAACAGAAGGAATTTATTTCCTTCATCCTTCCCACTCCTGAACTAGGCAAAGATGGTTACCGTTCAGAATTGGTTTCTGTGAGAGACTTCACTGCTATATACAGGTTTTATGCAACCCTCCTTCCTTGGTCAGAGTTTCTAAAAGAACATTCAGGTGACACTAGCTCATATGCATATGCATCAAGATATATTGATAGCAGCGAAAGTGTTAAAGGTAAACTTCATAGTGAAATGTTTTTCTTTGAAAATGCACTAAAAGCATTTGAAAAGGAAGAATCGAGGCTTGAATCAATGGATAAAGTGCTATACAGCAAAGAATTAGTTGATGTAAAAGTCAATCTAGCAGAATTGCATTTGACTCAAGGGCGTGGGAATGAATCAATAAAATATCTAAATGAAAGCTTAAAATTAAATGAAACACAACATGGGGTCACCTCTATATATTCAACTTGTGCCATATGGAATACTCTTGGTGTTGTCTATGATGGAAAAGGTCAGCATGAAAAAGTCATTAAATACTACAAGCAGAGTCTAATTATAAATAAACTGATATTCGGAGAGCTTCCAACTGAAAGTATATCATCTTTGTTGGGGAACATTGGTACTGCATATGACAGCAAAGGGCATTATGATGAGGCTATTAAGTACCATGAGCAGAGTCTGAGTATGAGAAAGCTGATACACAAAGATCAACCACATCTAGATATAGCAGGCTCACTGGGGAACATTGGTTCTGCTTACAATCAAAAAGGTCAATATGACGAGGCTATTCAATACATGAAGCAGAATCTGGCAATGCAAAAGAAGATATATAAAGATCAACCACATCCTGATGTAGCATGCTTACTAAGCAACATTGGTACTGTTTACCTCAGTAAAAGTCAACATAATGAGGCTATTGAATACCTAGAGCAGAGTCTTAACATGCGAAAGATGATATATAAAGATCAATCACATCCTGCTGTAGCATCATCACTGGGCAACATCGGTACTGTTTATGAGAGCAAAGGTCAATATGATGAGGCTATTCAATGCCTCAAGCAGAGTCTGACCATTCAAAAGAAGATATATAAAGATGAACCACATCCTGAAATAGCTATATCACTGGACAACATCGGTAATGCTTACATCAGCAAAGGTCAATATTATGAGGCAGTTCAATACCTGAAGCAGAGTCTGACCATGCGAAAGATATTATATAAAGATCAACCACATCCTGATATAGCATCCTCACTGTCCAACATTGGTAGTGCATACCTCAGCAGGGGTCAATATGATGAGGCTATTGAATACCTGCAGCAGAGTCTGGCCTTGCAAAATAAGATATATAAAGATCAACCACACCCTGTTATAGCAATAACTCTGGGCAACATTGGTAGTGCCTACAACAGCAAAGGCCAATATGATGATGCTATTCAATACCTTGGTCGGACTCTGACAATGCAAAGGCTGATACATAAAGATCAACCACATCCTGATATAGCAACATCACTTGGCAACATTGGTAGTGCATACCTCGGCAAAGGTCAATTTGATGAGTTTATTCAATGCCTGGAGCAGAGTCTGACCATCCAAAAGAATATATATAAAGATGAACCACACCCTGATATAGCATCTTCACTGGGCAACATAGGTAGTGCTTACAATAGAAAAAGTCAATATGATAAGGCTATTCAATACCTGGAGCAGAGTCTGATCATTGAAAAACTGATACATGAAGATCAACCACACCCTGATATAGTGACCACTCTTGGCAATATTGGTAGTGCTTACCTCAATAAAGGTCAATATGATGAGGCTATTCAATACCTGGAGCAAACTCTGATCATAGGAAAGAAAATATATGAAGATGAACCACACTCTGATATAGCAGTCTCTCTGGGCAACATTGGTAGTGCATACAGCAGGAAGGGTCAATATGATGAGGCTATTAAATACCTGGAGCAGAGTATGACAATGCAAAAGCTGATACACAAAGGTCAACCACATCCTGATATAGCATCATTACTTGGCTTTATTGGTAGTGCTTATAAGAGAAAAGGTCAATGTGATAAGGCTATTCAATACCTAGAGCAGAGTCTGATTGTAAAAAAGCTTATACATGAAGATCATCCACACTCTGAAATAGCATCCTCACTTGGTGATATCGGTGATGCTTATAACAAAAAAGGCCAATATGATGAGGCTATCCAATACCTGAAGGAGAGTCTGACCATGCGAAAGAAAATATATAAAGATCAACCGCATCCTGATATAGCATCCTCACTGGACCACATTGGTAGTTCTTATCTCAGCAAAGGTCAATATGATGAGGCTATTAAATACACGGAGCAGAGTTTTACCATGCTAATGCTGATATATAAAGAACAACCAAACCGTGATATAGCATCCTCACTTGGCAACATTGGTAGTGCTTACATCAGGAAAGGTCAATATGATGAGGCAGTTCAATACTTGAAGCAGAGTCTGGCCATACGAATGATCCTATATAAAGATCAACCACATCCTGATATTGCATGCTCACTGGGTAACATTGGTTTTGCTTATCTCAGCAAAGGTCAATATGATGAGGCTATTGAATACCAGAAGCAGAGTCTAACCATGCAAAAAACGATATATATAGATCACCCACATCCTGATACAGCGGCCCTACTGGACAATATTGGTACTACTTATGAGAACAGAGGCCAGTATGATGAGGCTGTTCAATACCATGAGCAGAGTCTGGCCATGCGAAAGAAGATACATGAAGATCAACCACATCCTGACATAGCATCATCATTGAGTAACATTGGTAGTGCTTACAATATGAAAGGTAATTTTGATGAGGCTATTCAATACTTGATACAGTCTCTGACCATGCGAAGGAAGATATATGCAGACCAACCACATCTTGATGTAGCATCCTCACTGAGTAACATTGGTATTGTTTATCATGACAATGGTCAATATGATGAGGCTATTCACTACCTTAAGCAATGTCTGGCAATGGATAGGCTGATATATAAAGATCAGCCACATTCGGATATAGCATCCGCACTGGACAACATTGGTAGTGCGTTCAACAGCAAAGGTGAATATGATAAGGCTATTCAATACCTTGAACAGGGTCTAGCAATGGACAGACTGATAAATAAAGATCAACCACATCCTGATATAGCATTGTCACTTGAGAACATTGGTAGTGCTTACGAGAGCAATGGGCAATATGATGAGGCTATACATTGCCTGCAGCAGAGTCTGGCCATGCTAAAGAAGATATATAATGATCAACCACATCCTGATATAGTGTCCTTACTCAGCAACATCAGTACTGCTTATGAGAAGAAAGGTCAACATAATGAGGCTATTGAATACCAGAAGCGGAGTCTGACCATGCAAAAGCTGATTAATTAACAGCCTGATGAACAATCACTCTTAAAGCAACAAAGCTATGAATGGGCATTTGACTGATGGACATTTACATGTCAGCACTCCAGGTAGAGAACAAAAGCTATCCAATATCTAACAGAGACTTTTCAAACCTTAATTCTATAAGTTGCTGCTATGAACTGAGGAAAGCTAAAAGCAATCAAGAGCTAAAACTAGAACACAGCAAGTCCACGGATTAGCAAATCTCAACGAACACTATATAAATCATGAATCTGTACAGTCACAGTGTAATATTTACCATCTACTCTTCCCTTCAGTATTTGAGATCATTGTAGTATCATGTTACCATACTTTAAAGATATCTCTAAGTAATGGCGAATTCGTACTCTAAGCAGCCATTTTGAATTTTCTGAGGCACAAATCAGAAAAACAATACCTTAATTGTGATCTACTACCTTCAATTTGAGTATAATATAGCCATACTTTTGAGAGATCAGAAAATAATTGCGAAATCCCACATTAGGCGGCCATTTTGAATTTTACAAGGGCCGAATCAGAAAAATAATACAATATTTGCAATTACTCGAAATTGCCTTTCATTTGAGTATAATAAAGCTAAACTTCAAAAACATCTCAAAATTAACACAAATTCCTGTTTTCCCAACACCCCATTCACGGCCCTTCGGGGCTAGGGTGAAAAACACGGGATATATGTGAAATAGATAGATGTTGTGATTATACTTCTAAAATTTCAAACAATAATATTTATTATTTTTGTTTAAAATGAGAAACATAAGATTTTTGCGAAAAATTTCCGCCATTTTTAAAGCGGCGGCCATCTTGAATTTTTTTGTGTAAAACTATTCATCAATATACATCTTTTCACAAAATATGAAGAAAATCTGTCAACTAGTATTCGAGTACGGAGGGCTTCACTATATTCCTACCGAACTTCGTTTGGTGGGATAATAAGTACCAGACCTGCCAATCTAAAATGAAAAATTTTCGGGAGATTTCTTGAAAATTGCGGTACATTTACGGGAGGTTTTTCCAAAACCCGGTAGATTTTGCGCGATTTTTTAAAAAAAAGCAGGAGTTTTAACGGGGGATTTTAGAAAAATGGTGTTTTTACGGTAGATTTTTTAAAAAGGGTAGCTTTCGCGGTAGATTGTAAAAATATGAGTTTTTACTGTAGATTTTTGAAAAAACTAGTTTTTACGGTAGATTTTTGAAAAAACTGGTGTTTTTGAAGTAGATTTTTGAAAAAACAGATGTATTTGCGGTAGGTTTTTGAAAAAACTGGTGTTTTTGAAGTAGATTTTTGAAAAAACAGGTGTTTTTGCAGTAGATTTTCAAAAAACGGGAGTTTTTACGGTAGATTTCTGAAAACGGGAGTTTTACGGTAGATTTTACTGGAGAATTCAGCAAAATACAGGAGGTTTTACAGCCATTTTAACTAAAAAAAACGTGTTTAGAAAAATAAACTACGGGAGATGTTAGTAAAAATACTGTACTGGAGTTTTTACGGGAGAAAACGGTACGGTATGTTATTTTTCCGGAAAAACAAAAATTTTACAGGGGATCCCCGTAAAAAAGGGAGGTTGACAGGTCTGAGTACAGTGTGAAATTATGTGATGATAATGTAAATAGGACAATTGTTAAACAGCAGGATTTATCACAAACGCTTACAGTTAGATTGTTGAATCTCGGTAATACAATTGTAGGTTATTATATTTTGTTTAGTCTTGGACGTTTCAAATGTACATACGCACGGTGTTATAGCATGACGGTTACGTCAAGGCGATTTGCAAAATGTTGCGGTAACGATAACAAAAATGGCGGATAGGAAAGACAGGATTATAGGAATATAAGCTCTAAACTTACCGACTGAGATGTCCAAGTTCATATTTTTTTGTCCATTCTCGTGATTTCTCAGTATATGTGCCTCAGAGCCACTCGAAGTATTAACAGTTAGTAAACTGTGTATAAACAAGCCATACAATGGCAAATCCAGAACAGGAATGTGGTCATATTGTAAATAATAAGGTTCCAAACGCAATGTCGTTAGACGACTACGTATGAATTCTATGGACGGTAACGTATTGTATTATATTTAGTGGACGGTTACGTGCATGTACATCTTTCAAGTTAAGGTTGCTAGTTCTGATAGCCTCTTTCCATGTAATTGTTATAATGGGTAAGAAATGGAATATTGAATTGCTTATATTTGTTTTCAGGACTCGCTTTCTTTATGAAACCAATTTAGTCAAAAAGATAGCAATGAAGAGGCAAAAGAAT